ATTCTTCCAAATTGGGGAGCAGCGAGAAGATACCAATTTCAGTAAGGCTGTGAGATTGACTTAGATCAAGGGTCTTCAATGCGGGAAGGCACTGAAAAACGAAACGGAAGAGAGAAAGAAGGCGAGGAGTTAATTTGGATATTCATGGTAAAACACCCTGAAGCAGTAATACATCTTTCTTGCCTTGAAGACCCGTCTCAAGTTTTATTTCCGGGTAAAGACTCGTCTCAAGATACTGTGATTCATTTCAAGATAAACCAAGCACTCGAAAGGAAATTCAAGCCAACACAGCAATCTTAATCCTTTTGGTAGTTCTTTATACCTTCCTTTGAGTCGTACATGGCTAAGCTGGAGTAGTTTCGGGTTGTACACATTCTTGCAAAAGCATTACTTTCCAGGGCTGCATCATTTGGATTAGTCAAGGCAAGACCTTCAATTGTTTCGGAACCCTAGTAAAAACAACAAAACAAAGCAACAAGAACGCATAAGTAGCATTAAGGAACTGAACCTCATTGCTCTCCTTGATGCTGGCCTATAGGACAGGATGTAGGTTCTTGGCATCAACCCCGAAATCTAGCCAAATGTTTAAAAACGTCACATAGAACCAGTGACGTAGCCAGAATTTTCAAATAATGGGGTCATAATATTAATAAAAAAAGTTTCCATTTCATCAAGCATCTAGTAGGCACCTTCTAATTCCTCTCAAGACATGCCGAATGTTTATGCCGACATACGTCAACATTTGTAGAGGCTTGTGTGCATGCAGGATACTGCAATAATTGAAGACTGTCAAGGCATTTCAACTAAAGTATTTTTTACAAGAAGAGAGAAAATGAAGACAAATATGATAGAAGAAAATAAAAGTAGGAGGATAAGGTTGTAATTTAGTTTCCTTAGCTGTTTATAGTGGTCAAATATAATATACAAATAAATATACATGGGGTTTTTGAAGTTGTTGGGGTCAAGGACAACCAATGACCCCATGTTGGCTTCGCTACTAGAACTCATGCACAAGCCGGATGCCCATCTCCTTTACATGTTTTTTTAAGGCTTAATTACTTCTACACTTCTTAACCAAGTCTCACTTAACCTTTTGAAACTCAAATTTTGGCACTGAACTCCCTAAAATTCAACTCGTGTATCACTTGACTATATATGTTGTCAAAATATGTTGATAAATGCGTCAAATTGTTTACATGGTACAAATAGTAAACTCTAACTGAACAAATTAAGTAAATAGCAGGTTTACCAGAACCCTACTCCCGAGTGCACTTCCCCCACCAATACCATTGCACAACTCAAACATTCTCGCCACAACAATAATAATAACTTGTATGCGATAGTCAATCTGATCTCCATTTTGAGAGGATCAGTTCATAAAACTTTTACAATAGTAAAGTGTTTGATATAGTGTGTTTGAATACAAGGTGAAGCACATGTTTTAATTTTCTAGCACTAAACTGACTTGTTGAAGGCTATCCACCATTTCGTTTTCAACTTTTAGTTTTTCGTTTTTTTTTTTAAATGAAAACTCTTTTGGTAACTACTTTTAACTTTCAATTAAAATAATAATAATAATAATAATAATAAATAAAAACAAAATGTAAACACTACTTTCTTGAGTTTTTTAATTTTGACTTTCAATTTTTATCCTTTCGAAAAGTAAAAGTTGAATGTAGTTACCATGGGTCTTTGGACCTGTGGATCCGAACCATATTACCGGCCCAATGTAAAATCATTCACTTCGTACTTTTGATTTTCAAACCGATCCGAGTTGGACCCAGCTTATGTAAAAACGAGTCCAAAACCAAGTTCATATTTCTTATGTATGGGTAACTCGGCCTGGACCGTTTAAGGATTGTCTTAGCACTTGTCATTTTATTAATAGTCCATAATGAAGCCCATGATCTATAATATCATATCTATGTAACCCTAGAAAAAGTAAAATGACGATTATTGTTATTGACCTTGTTAGACGTAATTCTTTCTTAATGGAAAACCATAGAGATTGTTTTATGTTGTTGTTATGCTAAACGACATACGATTGGAAACATATCCATTCTACCCCCTAGAAACTGGATCGTATCAAACGGATCCAGATGAGCCGGTTCCATTAATAAAAATACATAAACTCAGATCGGCTAAAAATCATTAGAAAAAGGAGCCATAGGATCGTGTACTTTGTCGCTCATCTTCTTCTTGCTCATGAACAAGCTAGATGCTTGTCTCCTCTACGGATATTACCTCTTCATATGAGCAGTTGTCTCCTCTACGGATATCCATTCTACCCCCTAGAAACTGGATCGTATCAAACGGATCCAGATGAGCTGGTTCCATTAATAAAAATACATAAACTCAGATCGGCTCAAAATCATTAGAAAAAGGAGCCATAGGATTGTGTACTTGGTTGCTCATCTTCTTCTTGCTCATGAACAAGCTAGATGCTTGTCTCCTCTACGGATATTACCTCTTCATATGAGCAGTTGTACCCCTAAAAAACCCCTTGGGCAATAGGCAATATAATTCCCCAAGTGAAAAGTAATTGTCCAAGTGTATCTTTATCCCTAAACTGAATAACCCAAACAATTCGTATTAAAATATTACTATTTTTTTAAGGCAAAGGGTCATACACTCTTTGGAGGGAGAGGATCCTCGCCGGATCCTCTTTGTAAGGATCCCAAGATCCTCCAATCACATCCGTTCATTATATACTATTTTTGTCAGATACGGTTTATATTCAATTTTACATAAAAAAATTTATACTGATTTCTGACCGCAACAGATGTGATTGGAGGATCCCCAGAATCCTCACAAAGAGGATCCCTAGGATCCTCCTGGCTCTTTGGAACCTACTGGCGGTTCTTCATTTTCAAATTTATGTTTTTTTTAATTTTTTTTATATGTACATTGATATTTTTACATTAGGGGGAGGGAGAGTTCGGTTAAGCCACACAATAGGCAGTCTAATTTAGTATCGAATTCGCCATCCACTATATTCGAACCTAAGACCTCTCATTTCTAAGTAAAGAGGAATACCACCAGACCGTAGTACTAAGTGATTTCAAATTTATGTTAAATGTAGAAAATAATACCAAACAAGAGTAACGGGAGATTATGAACCTTGCGTTATTACAATTCACATATTTATGCCCCTCATAGGAAAATTAAACTCACAAAGAGCAAAAACCAGGATATTTGGCATATCTTAGGGCCAGTTTGGTATTGCTATGATTATTCTACAAAATTATTGCTGCTATGTTGTAAGAACAAATAGCTGTAAAATAAAGTTGTTGAATGTTTGGTAAACCTTTTTTATTTTTCTTTTTAAAAATGCTTTTAACAGAAAACAATATCTAAGTATTTGGTAATGTTTTATATGAAACTGTTATGAATATGTTAAATGACTAAAAATAATATGATATTGAATGTCATATAATAGTTGCCAAAAAGAATAATGCAGTGGCAAAGATTGTAATTTTGTAAAATATGTGGTGATATACTTGTCATTTGAAAATTTCATTAAATGGGCATTGTTCACTATGCATTGAAAAAAAAAACTTTTTTTTTAGATCAAATTTGTAAACTTTGTGATGCATCGGCTAATCTTAACTTATTTGCTTGATTAAGACAATTCTTGACTAATCTTAACTTATTTGCTTGATTAAGACAATTGAACTAATGATAATTATGTAGATCAATTTTTAGATCAAATTTGTAAACTTTGTGATGCATCGTCCATAGAAAATAAGTACGTTAATCAATACTTAATTAGTAATCAAATCATCAACAACCACGTCATATAGTTTACAAAATTTCGTTTAAATAGATGGTATTGCTAGCATTACCGTTGAACTAAATACATGGATGACTAAAACAAAGAGGTCTAAACTCTAAAGTGGGAGACATTTTTTCATACAAGTAAGTTTTAATTTTGTTAGTGTTATTGTCTAATAAACGTTTGTTATGTGTTAAAAAAATATAAAATCTTTCTAATAACCAATCACCACATCGTAAAATGGTGACCTGAGAAAATACATCCTAAAAAAACTATATCCGAAGATTTTTTCTTTCTTCAAATGTGACCGTCTCATTGTCGCTTAGTATTAGAAATTAAATGCGTGTTATTATAAATGAATATATTGCATCAACATGGACCAACAAGTAATATGCTTGATTTCAAGAACAAGTAGCGTTAAAATGTGACATTAAGAAAGGAGAAATTAGAATCTCCTGCATTTTTTAATACTTTTTAGATCAAACACTGGTTCCTTTTTTAACATTAGATTAAGAGGCTTTGACCAATTGCCACGTCAACATTTTTCTTTTTTAAAATTACCTATAATTAGTTTAAAGGCAGCTTCACTTCACTTTTTAACTAATTGCCTACAATCTAGGAAATTAATTTCCCAGTCCTTTAAACTCCTACGTTTTAATGACTCTTTCTATAAAAAATAACTAATTAAAGTAATTTAAACTCCTATGTTTTTAATTAATGTTTCTTTCTGTAAAAAAAATAATAATTAAAGTAATTCCTCATTATTAGTAAAAAAAAAAAGTAATGAAAACAAACATATCAAAAATTCAAATGTACCAAGAAACTAAATGTACCAAAAATTCAAATGTATCAAGAAATTAAATGTACCAAAAATTTAGATATACCATAAATCAAATATATTCATCTTATAAGTAACCAAATGTACCGATATAATCAAACATACCGATATAACCAAACGTACCTAACAAGAAGTTTATTTTACCTTCTATTTAATTTACTAACATAAATATTTCAATAAAAAAAACATGAATAGACTTCTAAGAAAATAAAATGAAATGATATTAAGCACCAAAATTGTAAGGAAGATGTTTAATCAAAATTTCAAAAGAAATAGATGTTTAATCTATGACATTTAAAAACGAGGAGTCCATATATCAAAATTCCCCTATAATAAATTAATAGCTGTCAACAATACAACAAAACAAAACATAAAATAGCATAAATTGTATAACTACTCCATATCGAAGAGACCAAAGTGTGCTGCATCTTTGAGTGAAATATTCTGACAAATGGAGTCTTTGGTGGTGTCTCTGAAACCTTCACGTTCTCTCTCTGGCACCCTCTTCGCAGCATCTTCTTATCACCCAATTTCCACCACCACCACCACCACTGCCACCAGCAATCCAAGCCCTTACCGCTATCCCAACGCAAGACGGTTGGGCTCATTCAGTCAAAGGCACTGTCGTCGGGATACTTCCAGTCACTTTGACTTCGATCTCAGACTCAGATCGTACATCTCGAGCTCGTCTTCACCATCTACTATGCCAAAGAAGGGTGGAAATCAAACCAGCGGCGATGAAAACAACAAGGCTGAGGGTTCTTGGATCGACTTGTACCTGCCAATGCAAGCTCAGCCTTATGCTAAGCTCGCCCGCCTCGACAAGCCGATCGGCACCTGGCTGTTTGCTTGGCCTTCTTTGTGGTAAGTGAAAGGAATGTAGAAGAAAGGAATGACATAACTTCTCTCTGAGATTTAAAATGAAGTGGTCATGAGATTGTCCACCATAAATCATTTTAGTTATTCTGTGAGAAATCTCCGTTAAATTGAGAGTATTTTTGTCAAATCAACCCCTCCCCCTTTGAATTGGTGGTTTCTTCAATTTAGCGGAGATTTTTCATAGAATGACTAAAATGATTGGGAGTGGAGAATCTCACGGAATATTTATATCAAATTTAAATCACAAGAACCAAAGTGAAGAGACAAACCGTTTAGGCTAAAAAACATTGTTTTAGGTGCATGTCCAATCCAAGATGCAAATGAGGTCGTAAACCCACTTTTACATCTTGGTTGGCCGGATTCTCCTTCGGTCTTACAGATGTATGAGTTACAAAATTTGCAACTCACCGGATAAAGGCACGTAAAGGTGCAAACTTACAGTTAAGTTATTCTTTCGAAGAGCATCTTACATGGCCGGAATCTGCGCCAGTCTTGCAGAGAGGTTCACGTGGAAGAGGAAAGAAAAGCAAGCAAACGCGCTCCCACGCGCAAATAATACTCGCCACGCATTTGGAAGGTCATGATTCATGCAAAGTTTAATCAAATGGTTGTAAATAATCCAAAAAATACTATTTAATCGCCCAAAATAAAAAAAAAAACCATTTGAAAAAAATGAACTTTAACGAAAAGCTACTGTTCATTTTAATGAAAAACCATATTTTTACACTAAAAAATCAATACTGTTATTATTCACTTTACTCTTTATTTTGTCATTTTCGTTAAAACTCAAAGTTTTAAAGTCATTTTCATTAGTTTTCTTTTGAAAAAAAGTTCCCCTTAACATAGGCATTACGTTTGTTCATCTAGTCACCAGTTTTCTTTTCTTTCAATTCTCACACAAAACACTTCCTCATCCAAATTTTTTTTCTAGTTTTACTTCAACCTTCTTCTGATGAAACCAACGTCCAAATGAGATGAAATCGATGCTGTCCAAATTTTGAATGTTTTTGATCGAATTGTGCGGAAGAAAATAGTTACGTTAATATTTTTTTAAGAGTTAACAAGAAAATAAATTACACAAAAGCGAATAAATTAAAATTTTGATCTCCTCATTTACATTTATGCATTGGAGCAAAACTAAAATTTACATCTCCATAGATGTATATGAAAATATAAAAGTGGCTTTCCAATTTCCACCTACATATGCATCTCCAAGATTGAAGATGCTCTAACATTTGCTAGAAAAAGATTTACATATATGGCAAGGGTATTTTGGTGTCAAGTATCAATGATATAATGTACAAATCTTTTTGATGTCGTGTTACATATCACTTGTATGAGTTGTTACAGCGACATTATATTCATATCGGATAAGTTGCACTCTAAACGTTGGCAACGTCGACGTAATTAATTAATTTGTTTTAACTGGAAGTTAATTATGCTTATGGTGGGTGCATGCAGGTCAACAGCACTGGCTGCAAGTCCAGGACAGCTTCCTGATATTATGATGTTGATACTATTTGGATTTGGAGCTCTGTTTACTAGGGGCGCCTCGTGCACCATAAACGATCTCCTTGACCGGGATATTGATGGCAAGGTAAACTAAGTCCATTATATATGGTCATTTTGTATACGAAACTGATTTATATGCACTTTTTTTTTTCTGCACACTTTTATTTATTTATGAAATTTTCTTTCTGCATATTGGTTAGCTACTGAATTTAGTCCCTCGGCTGCATTTCACAACATATTTATTACGGTGAACTGATGTCATCTTGTTTTTAATTTTTAATGTTATGCACATACATGGATGCTACTGATAAACCAAATATTCAGTTCAAACTACCTGAGTATAAGCCATGTGCTGCTGACATATAATCCATGTGCTGCTGACATGGTGAAAGGACTATTCTAAATGAAACCCATGAAGTCCTGTCGAAGATGGGCAGAAGAATATTGCATGATCTCACATTATTTATTGCATGCGTGTACTATTGTTTATGGCATGCGGGTGTATGTAAAACTGTATAAAAACCATACTGCAATGATGTAGATAGTAAGAAAGCTAAACCATACTCCTTGATGAGTTTATGCAGTTCACAGTTTTCGAACCCTAGCTTAAACTTTTTCATGGTATCAAAGAGCTAAAGTCTAGCGACAATAATTTTTTTTTTCCCCGTTCTCCCATGGCTTCTCAATCTTCCTCTCCCATTCCCCTTCCTAATGTCTCCAATTTTCTCACGATCAAACTTGATCGTACCAACTACCCTCTCTGGCAAGCCCAAATGCTACCTCTCCTCCGCAGTCGAAATCTGGTTTCCTTTGTTGATGGAACTAGTAAGTGTCCCCCAGCATTGCTGACAGATGAGGATGGAAACATCACTGACAAAGTCAACCCTGATTTCGACACTTGGATACAACAGGATGCAACTGTTATGTCATGGATCAACTCCTCCGTCCATCCTACCGTGCTTGCTGCTTTAATTGGGAAAACCAGCTCCCACTCTGCCTGGACAACACTACGTGATCGTTATGCTTCTCAGCCCACCGGTCGCCTTCTCCAGCTTCGTAGTGAGTTGATGAATACTCACCGAGGTGATTCTTCCATTTCTGAATTTTTGGATAAAATTAATTGTCTCGCAGATACCCTCTCTCTCTCTGGTGCTCCTGTTTCCGACTCCGACATCGTTGCCATCATCCTCAACAACGTTGGTCCGGCCTATGAAAGTACCGTTGCTTCCGCTCAAGCCCGTGATGAGGCTATTACCTACAGTGCTTTGGAAGCCCTCCTCCTTGGCGCTGAAAGACGACAACAAATACATTCCGCATTTGATACTGACAGTGGGCTCACTGTCCTTGCCACCGTTCGCAATGGCAACCGCGCACCTGCATCTTCTCGAGGACGAGGATCCTCTACTGGCTTCCGTGGTCGTAGTAACTTCAATACTGGTCGCGGCTCTACCAATCGCCACTACAGCTCCTCACCCTCTCACCAAGGTTCCTACTATCACCAAGGGTCCAACTGTCACCAAGTATCCCACTCCCGCCCACATGATGGGATTCTTGGCACCTCTCCTTCCCAAGGTACTTTTACTACAAGCCGGATTCAATGCCAAATATGTAATCGTTATGGTCATTCTGCGATTGACTGCTTCAACCGCCTAAATATGTCTTATGAGGGACGTGTCCCTGCACCACGTCTTCAAGCCTTTGCTGCTCGTGCTCCTCCTGCTTCTGCAACAGCATCTGCCATACAGGAATGGCTGTTTGACTCCGGGGCCAATGCTCACATCACCAATAATCTTGCTACTGTTGCGCATCCTCATCCTTATACTGGCATGGACCAAGTCAATGGAGTTGTTGGTGGCACAGGTTTGCAAATTTCACACATAGGCAACACTTCCATTCGTACACCTACCTCTACTTTCACATTACCTAATACACTACTATGCCCTAATGCATCAACCAATATTATTTCTATCCATCGTTTTACTACCGATAATAACTGTTCTCTAACCTTATATCCCAACTCATACTGTGTTCAGGAACTTCACACGGGGAGGATGCTTTTACAAGGCCCGAGTAGGAATGGATTCTACCCTTTTTCTGGTGTTTCATCTTCCATTAAAGGCGTGTCTGCATTTTTAGGAACTAGAGTGTCCAATTCAATCTGGCACTCTAGGTTAGGTCATCCATCTTCTCATATTTTGCAAAATTTGGTTTCTAGGAACAAATTGCCTATTAAGGGCGTTGTAACTAGTGAGTTATGTCACTCATGTCCCATGGGCAAGAGTCACAAGTTACCTTTTCCATTGTCTGTCTCTAGGTCTTCATCTCCTTTACAATTGGTTCATTCCGATGTATGGACTTCACCTTCTTTTTCTATCAATGGTTTTAAATATTATGTCGTATTTATTGATGATTTTTCTCGCTACTCTTGGCCATATCCCTTAAAATTAAAATCTGATGTTTTTCTCACTTTTGTGTCCTTTAAGAAACTGGTTGAAACATGTTCCACACTACAATTAAATCCTTTCAAACTGATGGAGGAGGGGAGTACGTAAACAACAAATTCAAAATTTTTTTGACTCAACATGGCATTCTACATCGTTTTACATGTCCACATCATCCTGAACAAAATGGAATTTCCGAACGTAAACACCGTCATATCGTTGAAACTGGTCTCACTCTTCTTGCTCATTCCTCCTTACCAACTTCTTTTTGGGATGATGCTTTCCATACAGCAAACTATTTGATCAATCGTTTACCCACTAAAGTTCTCCATGATGAGTCTCCCTTTCAAAAACTGTTTCAAAAATCTCCTCAATATGATTTTCTTAAAGTTTTTGGGTGTGCATGTTTTCCATTTCTTCGTCCTTATAATACTAACAAGCTGCAATTTCGCTCCAAACGTTGCATTTTCTTAGGTTATTCATTAAATCAACAAGGTTATAGGTGTTTAGATACGTCCACAGGTCGCATTTTTTTGTCACGCCATGTCCTATTTGATGAAACCAATTTTCCATACAAAGAATCCATTTCTACAACGTCCTCATCCTCCCAATCGTCTATGGTACTGAACATTGACCCCTCTTCTTTCCATTATCCCTCTAGGAACCCCATTTTCCCAACTGTACCACCAAACCCGCATCCGTCCAACTTATTCCCCATATTATCTCACCCACCTAACCCTAGTCCTATTCCCTGCCCTTTACCACCACATCCGCAACATCACATGCATCCCACTATACCATCCCCCCAACCTAACCCTATTTCCTCTAATTTCCCACCAAATCCGCACCTCCCTGCCCCTTCTTCCATTCCATCCCCTACGACTGCAGTGGGTGTTGCTCCTGTCTCACCTTCCTCTCAGAGACAAATTCAACCTGTTCACTCCATGGTTACACGCTCAAAGGATGGCATTCAGAAGCCAAACCCCAAGTATGCTCTTGTTTCTGATGTGACTAATGAACTTGTTGAGCCCTCTTGTTTTACACAGGCAAATAAGTCTCCCGAATGGCATATGGCAATGGCAGAAGAGTTCAATGCTCTACAAAGCATAGGAACGTGGTCCCTAGTTCCTTCTCATCCCTCCATGAATGTCCTACCAAATAAATGGGTCTACCGTATTAAACGGAAATCTGACGGTTCCATTGAAAGATTTAAAGCACGTCTTGTTGCCAATGGTTTCCATCAACAAGAAGGGCTTGATTACAGTGAGACGTTTAGTCCCGTCGTCACTCATGCTACCATCAGGATCATTCTCTCCGTGGCTCTTCATTTTAACTGGCCAATTCGCCAACTTGACGTCAAAAATGCGTTCCTTCATGGCTCTTTAAATGAAGAAGTCTACATGCGCCAACCTTCTGGTTTTGTCGATCCGCAGTTTCCGTCACATGTATGCCGTCTTCGTCGGTCCTTATACGGCTTAAAACAGGCTCCACGTGCCTGGTTTCAGTGCTTCTCTCACCATCTGGAGGAGCTCGGCTTTCAAGCCTCCATGGCAGATTCTTCGCTGTTCATTTTCTGCAATGGAACTAATGTCATTTACTTGCTCATTTACGTTGATGACATCCTCGTCACCGGTAATAATCCAGCTCACATCTCCACCTTGATTCATCAATTGGGTCGAAAATTCTCCATGAAGGACCTTGGTCCCTTGCATTATTTTTTGGGAATGGAAATTACGAGAACGCCAACGGCCATGTACTTAACACAGTCAAAATATATCCTGGACCTCCTCAAACGAACTCAGATGGCTGACGCCAAACCCTTGTACTCTCTACTCCAGCCCTCCTGGCCGCAAGCTTAGTTTGTATGAGGGCGAGCCCTTGGCGGATGGAACAACCTTTCGAAGTATTGTTGGGGCCCTCCAATATCTCTTATTCACACGTCCGGACATTGCTTTCGCTGTGAATCAAGTCTGCCAGTATATGCATTCGCCCACCACTACACATTGGGTTGCCGTCAAACGCATTCTTCGCTATTTGAAAGCCACTCATGATCGCGGTCTCGTTTATAAACCCAGTTTTTTGTCCCTCACAGCATTTGCCAATGCTGACTACGCTGGTGACCCTGATGATCGTCGCTCCACTGGTGGTCATTGCATATTTCTAGGGGATAACTTGGTCTCCTGGAGTTCTAAAAAGCAGCGCGGCGTGTCTCGCTCAAGTACGGAGGCCGAGTATCGCCAAATGGCCTACACAGCTGCCACCTTATCTTGGTTCAGACACATTTTTTGTGATCTTCGTCTTCCCCTCACTCCACCAAAATTGTGGTGTGACAATATCAGTGCACTGGCAGTGGCTTCCAATCCCGTTTATCAGGCTCGTATGCGTCATGTGGAAGTTGATTATCATTATGTTCGAGAGAAAGTCACTAGAAATGAACTTGTTGTGGGATATGTTTCATCTACTGACCAACTTGCCGATCTCTTAACAAAGGGCTTGTCCACCGCACGGTTCAGTTATCTTCTTTCCAAGCTTCCTGTTCGTCCGCGCCCACTCAGCTTGCGGGGGCGTGATAAACCAAATATTCAGTTCAAACTACCTGAGTATAAGCCATGTGCTGCTGACATATAATCCATGTGCTGCTGACATGGTGAAAGGACTATTCTAAATGAAACCCATGAAGTCCTGTCGAAGATGGGCAGAAGAATATTGCATGATCTCACATTATTTATTGCATGCGTGTACTATTGTTTATGGCATGCGGGTGTATGTAAAACTGTATAAAAACCATACTGCAATGATGTAGATAGTAAGAAAGCTAAACCATACTCCTTGATGAGTTTATGCAGTTCACAGTTTTCGAACCCTAGCTTAAACTTTTTCAGCTACATCAGGACTAATTATTGTCACCTAATATTATTAATCTACTCATATTATGACACATAATTTAAAAATTATTATGAGGTGGAGAGTACAAAGGAAAGATGAAGAAATTTATTCTTTGATATAAATACTTAGTTCTCTGATTAAAAAAAAAAAATTACTTAGTTCATATGATAAAAGTTCTGCAATTAATTGATCAGGTGGAACGTACAAAGTCGCGGCCTCTTGCAAGTGGTGTTTTGACACCTTTTCAGGGGATTTCTTTTCTTGGATTTCAATTGCTCTTGGTTCTAGGAACTCTCCTTCAAGTAAACAATTATAGGTAATTAGCATTCTTACTAATATTTATTTAGAATGATTCTAGAGAGATCATTTACTTGATTTATCAACCATCACTCGCTGCATCATGTGATTTACAAAATATGGTCAATCACATTCTGAATCCGATGAAATAGGATGAATTGAAACGGTATGTAAATACGTAATTATCTTAAATATATTAACTATTCCTAGCATTTTTAGTTAATCTGATTAATTGTTATGCAAATATTATTATAATCTGCTATGTATTTGAAGCTAGCTTGTGTAACTCATTAATTGGAATTAACAGCTGCGTTTTGGGGGTTTCATCTTGGTTCCTAATTTTCACCTATCCTCTCATGAAGAGATTGACATATTGGGTACGTAATTACAATCTCATGACTGCATTTAACGACTTATTACGTCGTTATAATGTATAATGTGGTATTCTACATCACATAATAATGCGTATTTGGTGCAGCCTCAAGCCTATCTAGGTTTGATGATTAATTGGGGGGCTTTATTAGGATGGGCAACAGTAAAAGGAAGCATTGATCCAGTTATAGTGCTCCCATTGTACTTTTCTGCAGTATGCTGGACACTTGTCTATGATACCATATATGCACATCAGGTAAAACAACGACTAATGCTATGCACACCAAACTTTTTTTTTACCAAGTTTTATTCACCAATAAAATGTCTTAGTTTTTGTAAGTCATATGTTGGGAAAAGAGACTGGTCCTTACTTATTTTCAACAAAATCTATAACATGTGTACAGTCTACAAACACATAATTTGTCATAAATAAATTTGGTGAAAAATAGTTTAATATTATTGAAAACACACGTCGCTATTTCCTTGTCAGAAGTTGTATTTTCCAAGATTTGAGTGTGATCAAATTATGGAATAATTAAGTAGAATATAAGATAAGTTTTTCAATGTGCAATCCAACAAAATTAAGATGTTTTCTGACCATGCTTGCTTGCAGGACAAGGAAGATGATTTGAAAGTAGGTGTTAAGTCTACGGCATTGAAATTTGGCGACTCCACCAAAAAATGGATTACTGGGTTTGGAATCGTGTGCTTGAGCAGTCTTGCCCTCAGTGGATACAATGCTGGGATAGGTTATTGTCTTTTTTATAATTTCCTATATTTTTCAAATTTTTTCTCTTTTACCACATCTTCACACCCAAATCTTGCAACTATATATGGAGCAGGGTGGCCGTACTATGCATTTTTGGGGGTTGCATTTGGACAATTAGCTTGGCAAATATCAACAGTTAATCTTTCATCCTCAGCTGATTGCAATAGAAAGTACGTGTTGTCACGCAAAAAAAAAAAAACTATTTAGGGCTCCTTTGATAAGCAATTGGTATCAAACGGGCTCTTAGGTTTCCAAGTATTTATTGGTTTTGTTTTGCTTCGAACAAGATCAGCTTATTGACTTAGCCTTTTCTCTTTTTGTGCTGGTTCCAGATTTGTGTCGAACAAGTGGTTTGGCGCTATTATGTTCATCGCAATCCTATTTGGACGACTTTCATCATAAGGAGGTACAAGGTTTATTAATTTTTAGCATATATTAAGGTTGGTTATGTCTTCCAATAATTCTAATTTGGAGTTTTTTACAGATGCAGTTCGTCATTCTCTTGCACTGTTCTCGTATATTGGCAAGAAGGTTGCAAGGTCATCTAAAAGCAGGACTCAAATGCGGGCATCAATGTTCTCGTCTATTGGCAAGAAGGTTGCAAGGTCATCAATGTTTATGCTGTAATATTTATCGTTGTACCTCAAAAGTGGACCATTTTCATGGGGCTTTATGGGACTAAATGTTGTAATTTTGATTTCAATTGGGAAGTCTAACAGCAGATGTGATGAAACAAGTGTTTTTGGTGCTATTATTTTCAGTGGAATCATATTTCAGAATATACATATATATATATATATTATATTATATATATTACTTGGAAAGCAAAGGTATGGCTACGTATGATAGACGTTCCTCTGATCCTTGCAAAGGAGATAGCTTTTGTTGGCTTGGGGTCGCCCTTTTTATTTGCAAGTTGCAACCTTGAGGCAAACTCGTATATATTATTTTGGTTATTTCTCCAATTCACAATTACGAAATGTCCCTCAACAAATCATAAGCGTAATTGCTCGCCTTGAACATGGTCCATGGGGATAAGTATGTTCTTGGCATCACCTTGTATTCCGCAAAACTTTCAAAAATGACACATGGAAAAGAAGGATGATCCGTGGTCTCGTTCTGGGCGTTTGTCATCTTCCCTTCTTGCTTGTGCACAAGCTGGACTCCAATGAAATATCTCATGTATATGAAGTACTGTCACTCGTTTTGGGCGCTTGTCATCTCCTCTTTTTCCTCGTGCACAAGTTGGATACCGTACTTCGTGCTCCAAAGAATATCTCATGTATATGAAGTACTGTCACTTCCTCTCCACCTTTCAGTTTATTCCCTATGTTCCAGCCTTTAGCACTCATGATTCTTAAGCTGAAATTGGCTCAAGTTCATCTGAGATTGGTTCAAGTTCACATAGTTTTGAGACAGAAGCAACTACCCCTAGCTCAACACCTGTGAAGATGAAGGATCTTAGTAAGATATATGCAAGGTGTAACATGTGCATAATTGAGCCAAAAAACTATGAAGAAGCTGCAAAGGACAAGGCTTAGCAAAAGGCCATAGAAGCTGAAATGGAGATGATTGAGAAGAATGAAATATTAGAACTAATTAATAGACTAGTAAGAAAAACCAGTGATTGGTGTCAAATGGGTCAATAAGACCAAACTGAAATTAGATGGCTTAATAAAAAAACACAAGGCAAGGCTTGTGGTCAAGGGCTATGTAAAAAAGCTTGAGATAGATTTTAACGAGATAGATACTCGTGTGGCCAGATTAGATACCATCAGGACTCTCATTGCTTTAGCAGCACAAAAGGGTTGGAAATTGTTCCAACCAGATGTCAAATATGTATTTCTTAATGGTGTACTAAAGGAGGAGGTATATGTGGATCAACCAGATAGTTTTGTGGTTAAAATGCTGAAGACAAAGTGTACAAATTGAAGAAAGCCTTGTATGGTATAAAACAGGTACCAAGGGCCTGGTATGAAGAAATCGACTCATATCTCATTGACTGTGGATACACCAGAAGTTCAAGTGAGGCAACATTATCCATCAAGACCAAGGGGAATTCTGGAATTTTAGTTGTCTCAATTAATGTTGATGATAGTGTGTGTACTAGAAGTAGTGAAGAGTTGCTTGCTGAATTCAAGTCAGAGATGATGACATGGTATAAAATGATTGACTTGGGGCTCTTGTATCATTTCCTTGGCATGGGTATGATACATAGCATATTTACCTGTCAAAAGAAATATGCATTGACTTTGCTGAATAAATTTGAATACAAGAACTGCAAGCAAGTTAGCACACCTCTTGTTACAAGTGAGAAATTGTGCAAGAATGATAACAGTGATCCTGCAGAGGAAAACGTGTATAGACAGAATGTTGGGAGTCTGCTATATTTAGCAGCCACAACGCCAGACATGTTTGCAGCTTGCTTACTAGATAGATTTACGCATTGTCCTAGTAAGAAGTATATTAGAGTAGCAGTGACATTGTATTTGACTTTCAACTACAGAAGCTGAGTATGTCAATGCAGCCGAAGCAACAACTCAAGCCATTTGATTGAGATTTGTGCTTGATGATTTCAAGGAGCTACAAGTAACTCCACTTATGGTTGATAATACCTCAGCCATTTCTATGACAAAGAATCATGTTTTCACCAGAAAACTAAGAACATCAATATGAGATACCATTTCATCTGAGAAGCCTTGCAAGAATGTGTTATGAATTTGAAGTATTGTAGATTAGAAGAACCCCTTATGTAGTATATTCGTGGCTCCTATGAGCGCTTTCCCAGTAAAACAGGTTGCAGACATATTCACTAAGGCATTGTCAGGATCGATTCAACTATGATTCAACTACTTGAGAGTATTGCTTGGAATAAAAGCAGTCAACAATTTAAAGGGAGTGTTGAAGTGTAAATTATTTTACTGGTTCATTTGATTTAAGTTGCAATGGTTTCTTTAGTAAATTGGACAAGTGTAAGGTTTAGATTCAATTTCATCTTTGTATAACTCACATGGCTTAGATTTAGCCACGTGTCATGATTCCTTGACCAAAAAAAAAAAAGCTCTGCTATGATTTCAGCCGCAATCTTCCTTTCACAGACATATACAAGTTTTCTCCTTCATTCCTTTTTGTTCTTCATCAACTTTATTTCCAAAACCAGACATTAGCAAAAAAATAATATCAAACATCAAATTGCAACAGACATGATATTCTTAAGCCATTGGAATATAAGGAGTCAACAGAAAGGTGGAGAAGGAGTGACAATACTTCATTTCATATACATGAGATATTTTTTTGGAGTAACGAAGTGCTGTATCCAGCTTGTGCACGAGCAAGAAGAGATGATGACAAGTGCCCAGAACGAGACCACGAATCATCCTTCTTTGCAGAATACAAGGCGATCTCACCATGGACCATTTTCAAGGAGAGCAATCACGCTTATGCATTCTGAGGGATTTGGATTTGTTGAAGGACATTTTGTATTTATTAATTGGAGAAATATCGATAATAATATAGACGAGTTTGCATCAAGGTTGCAACTTGCAAGTAACTGTATGTATATTCTGAAACTGGATTCCACTGAAAATAATAGCACCAAAACATTTGTTTGGCATAAATATGGAACAATTTCATCATATTTGCTGTTTGACTTCAAATTGAAATGAATATTACAACATTTAGTTCCCAAAAGCCCCAAGAAAATGGTCTATTTTTGAAACACAACAGTAAATATTACAACGTTTGATCCTTGCACTCATTTGAGTGCTGCATTTAGATGACCTTGCAACCTCCATGCCAATACACGAGTTCTGTTGCAGTGCAAGAGAAAGATGAACTATATCTGTCAAAAAAGCCCCAAATTAGAATTAATGGAACACATAACCAACCTTACTATGCTCAAAATTAATAGACCTTATACCACCTTAAGATGAAAGTCGTCCAAATAGGATTGCGATGAACAAAATAGCGCCAAACCACTTGTTCGACACAAATCTGGAACCAATACAAAAAGAAAAAATGCTTAGTCAATAATCTTATCTTGTTCAAAGCAAAACAAAACTAATAAATACTTGTAAGCTTAAGAGCCCGTTTGATAACTGTTTAAAAACAAAATTAAATACCAATTGGTTTTCAAATGAGCCCTGAATATTGTTTTTTTTTCCAAGACAACACGTACTTTCTACTGCAATCAGCTGGGGATGAAAGATCAACTGTTGATATTTGCCAAGCTAATTGTCCAAATGCAACCCCCAAAAATGTATAGTACGGCCACCCTGCTCCATATATAGTTGAAAGGTTTGAGTGTGAAGATGTGGTAAAAGAGAAAATTAATTATGAAAAAAAAAATGAAATTAAAATAAAGAGGGGAAAAAAGACAATAACCGATTTCAGCACTGTATCCACTGAGGGCAAGACTGCTCATGCACATAATTCCAAACCCAGTAATCCATTTTTTGGTTGAGTCGCCGAATTTCAATGCCGTAGACTTAACACCTACTTTCAGATCATCTTCCTTGTCCTGCAAGCAAGCATGGTCAGAAAACATCTTAATTTTGTTGGATTGCATCGAAAAAGTTATCTTATTTACTACTTAATTATTCCATAATTAAATGATGCTCAAATCTTGGAAATTACAACTTTTGACAAGGAGCACAATAGCGACGTGTTCGTTTTCAATAATGTTTGAGACACCAAACTATTTTTTTGCCAAATTTATTCATGACTAAATTATATGTCATGTTAAAGTTTTACTTGTTGAAAATAAGTAAGGTCCAGTCTCCTGTCCCACCATATGACTTACAATATCTAAGGCATTTAATTGGTGAACATAACTTGGTAAAAAAAAGTTTGGTGTGCATAGCATTACTCGTTGTTTTACCTGATGTGCATATATGGTATCATAGACCAGTGTCCAGCATACTCCAGAAAAGTACAATGGAAGCACTATAGCTGGATCAATGCTTCTTTTTACCGCTGCCCATCCTATTAAAGCCCCCCAATTTATCATCAAACCTAGATAGGCTTGAGGCTGCACCAAATATAGATGCATTATGATGTGATATATAATACCATATTATACTTCTTAATGACGTAATTAGTCGTTAAATGTAGTCACGAAATTGTAATCAATTACCCAGTATGTCAATCTCTTCATGAGAGGATAGGTGAAAATTAGGAACCAAGATGAAACGCACAAAACGCAGCTGTAAATTCCAATTAATGAGTTACACAAACTAGTTTCATATTCATAGCATATTATAATAATATTGGCATAATAAGTATTCAGATTAACTAAAGGAAAAATAACAGGGAGATCGTTTTTAAACATATTTTATAAATCACATGATGCAGCGGGTGATGGTTAAGTTATTGTTTTAATGATTTAAAGAAGAAATCAATTATCAACTGCCACATCATGTGATTTACAAAATATAATTCAAGCAACTGGTCTCTCCAATATCATCCTAATGAATTTAGATAAGGATGCTAATTACCTATAATTATTCAATTGAAGGTAAATTCCAAGACCCAAAAGCAATTGAAATCCAAGAAAAGAAATCCCCTGAAAAGGTGTCAAAACACCACTTGCAAGAGGCCGCGACTTTGTACGTTCCACCTGATCAATCAATTGCAGAACTTTTATCAAATAAACAAAGTATTAATCATCAAAAATTAAATTTCTTCGTCTTTCCCCTGATCATTAGAGAAATTTATTACGCTGCTTTCAAACCAGATATAAGCGAAATCGTAAACGTCTAGTGAAACCAAAGGTTTCAAACCCCGGAGTCTCAACTTCAATTTTCAAACAAGTCACCCAAGTGATTTAACAATAATTTTTTAGTGTTTGTCTCACCAGTACACCATTCTACTATACCATGTTGTGTAGTATTAGGGATGTTAATAATTTTTTAATTTAAGTTATATAATAGATCAAATAACGTCAAGTGACAATAATTACTCCTAACGTAGCTTGGGCATAAATAATTAATAAAAACAAGATAAAGTGATGACATCAGTTCGCCGTAATAAATATTTGTGAAGTGTAGCCAAAGGATTAAATTCATTATCTAACCAATATGCAAAAAAGAAATTGAGTACACCATTGTTTTCCTTAGAATTTCATACATAAATAAAAGTTTGCAGAAAAAAATGTGTACAGAAATCAATTTCGCATACAAAATGACCTTAATGAACTTAATTTTACCTTGATATCAATATCTCGGTCAACGAGATCGTTTATGGTGCATCCGGCGCCCCTAATAAACAGAGCTCCAAATCCAAGTAGTGTCAAAATCTTAATATCAGGAAGCTGCCCTTGATTTGCTGCCATTGCTGTTGACCTGCATGCATACACCCACCAATAAGCATAGTTAACTTCCAGTTCCACACCAATTAAAGAAAAAACTTAAAAAATAAACTAGTGTATGTCGAATTAATTAAACTTAGGCTTGAATTTACAACCGTTCCATTACATATTTGTCTGCATGGCAATCTATCAGAAATTTAGGTCTTATTGGAATGTTTAAAATTATGTGAAATTTTTGTTTGAAAAATAAGAGTTTCAAGGGCTTAATTCTAAATAAGCCTAATTATATTGACCAAAAAAAAAAAAAAAAAAGCCTAATTATAACAGTTAATACATAACAGTTAATACTCAAACTTTCCTCTCATTCTTTTCACTTACCACCAAAAAGGCCACGCATACAACCAGGTGCCGATCGGCTTGTCGAGGCGAGCGAGCTTAGCATAAGGCTGAGCTCGCATTGGCAGGTACAAATCGATCCAAGTACCCTCAACCTTGTCGTTGTCATTGCTGATGGTTTGATTTGCACCTCTCTTTGCGGCAGCAGAAGGTGAAGACGAGCTCGACATGTGCGATCCGAGTCTGTGATCAAAGCCAACGCGACTGCAAGTATCCCCACGGTGCCTTTGACTGAACGAGCCTAACCGTCTTACGTTGGGATAGCGGTAAGGGTTTGGATTGCTGGTGGCAGTGGTGGTGGCGGTGGAAGTTGGGTGATAAGAAGAGGGTGCGAATATGGTGCGAGAGAGAGGATATGAATGTTTCAGAAACCTACTTGAAGCGGAAGTGCGAGACACCACCAAAAAGGACTCCATTTGCAGAATATATATTATGCACCACCCGTTAGTCTTAGATATATATGGTGTAGTTATACAATTCAGCAATTTTTATGTTTTGTTTAGAGTGGTGTTATTCACACTCATTTTTACTTCACATGCACTTTTTGTTAATTAAATTTTTCCCATTTGATATTCTTCTATTCATTCGACTCACCGGCCGAAAATTGAGAAATGTGTGTGGAAGGTAAAAATAGGTGTTTGATGGCACATCCTTGTTATGTTGTATTGTTACCAGTCATTAAGTTTATTATATGTCACTTTTTAACGCTACTGGTTCTTGAAATCAGGTAGTTTACTTGTTGATCCATGTTGTTTCAATGTATACATTTATTATTTCGACAAAAAAATGTACAAATTTATAATAACATGTGTATTTATTTGATAATACTAAACAATTATGTGACAGTCACATTTTAAAATAAAGTTTTAAGATATAGTATTTTATGATGTATTTTTTAATGTCACTATTTTACTACGTGGCAATTATTTATGGTAAAATTGTGCATTTTTTAAACACATGACAAACTTTTCTTAGACAATAATAAAAACAAAATCAAAACTAAAACTTAGTGGTATGTGAAAATATCTTCCACTTTAGACTATTGACCCCGTTGTTTTATTCATCCATGCATTCGAATTCAACTGTCTTTGGTCTAGCACGTAGGTTGAATTCTATGTCATTTCTGCATTTGGTTCAATTGTCTTCGTCAAAATAAGTTCAATTGTTTTAGTCATTCACGCGGTGGCAGATGGAAATGGCAACCATCCGTATGATTACATTGAACACTACATCAAGCTTAGTAGAAGTCTTGATTTCTTTTCTTGTAGTACTGGTATTCTTTTTCTTGACGTCCAACAACCACCACTTGAGATATAATCAAGCATTTTGTCATCAAGTCTCCATTGATAAAAAGACGACCCAAGAGTCAAGAGGATAAATCTAATGGAAGATTCCAAACGATGAAGTGCGGGTTTATGTGCCGACTATGGTTAAGTTTAGTTTAGAATATTAAAATTATATTTTGATCACGCATTTTTGCTTTTGAAAATAGAAGAATAAATCAAGGGAACTTTAACGAAAAGCACCTGGTACTGTTCACTTTAATGAAAAACCACATTTTTACATTAAAAAGTCAATCATGATACTATTCACTTTACCCTTTATTTTGTCCTTATCATTAAAACTCAAAGTTTTCAAACCCTTTTTATTAGTTTTCCTATAAATCAAACCTTATTGGTTACGTTTTGAACTTTTGCATACATCTTAGGACTTGCGGTTATTTTTTTTCTTTCATTATATTAGCTAATCCAACTGTAGTTGAAAGTGCAACATGTTTGTACTTGGAGCGATGTGCATATTATGTACCAAATGATTTCTACTTTCTAAATTAATATAATAATAAAAGACCTACTGAATAAAACAGGTTCAACTCACATAGCTTCTTACCACACGCATACACATGTGACAATTGGCTCTTTTAATTGTTTTACTTTATTTTTTTTAATTTTAGATATTATTATTTTTTATTAAAATATATTTTAAAAAATTATGAACGTAACTACTCACATTCCCACTTTGTGAGTTTTTTTTTGTTCTGAATTTTTTTTTAAATCCTAAAGGGAGAAGGGTAATTTGGGTATTATGAAGGCTGCACCTCTTTTACCTTCTCCCTTTATATATATATAGATTTCATCAGTCAGGTACGTACGAATAATATAACCATTACATACCAAACATTTTATACATTATAAATTAATATTATTTCATGAACCATACGATCATTTGATGGTTTAATACCAAACGTTTCATTAGCCGTTTCTAAATTAACGTACCAGTTAGTTGGTAGTTTAATACCAAATACCATTACTCGAAATAACATAAAAAGACATACCAAATAATTGGCACGTTTCAAACGCACACTATAACATTTCGTCAGTCGGGTACTTTTCAAAAATAAAAAATTTACGTACCAAACTTTTGGCACGTTTTAAATAAAGGCTTATTATATTAACACCTCACATACTTTTCCAAAATACTCACACCCCACATTCCTAACATACACCTTACATTTTCTACACACCCCACATTCTTCAAATCTTATAATACTCATTTTTAATTTTTATAAATTAAATTGACTTTGGAGTAAAACTCTAACATCCTGTGTGATTGATGTGGAGAGAAGAAAGAGTCACTTGAGAGGCATCAATTGAACGAAATGAGTTATATTGCAGTAATTGTCACATCCCGTCCCGGGTCCACCATATCTCGGGCCCGCTCCACCACCGTAGTACGATATTGTCCGCTTTGGGCTTACCATTTTCTCACGGTTTTGTTTTTGGGAACTCACGAGCAAATTCCCAGTGGGTCACCCATCCTGGGAGTGCTCTAACCTCTTTCTCGCTTAACTTCGGAGTTCCTACGGAACCCGAAGCTAGTGAGCTCCCAAAAGGCCTCGTGCTAGGTAGGGATGAGAATATACATTTAAGGATCACTCCCCTAGGCGATGTGAGATGTTACAAGATACAGATAGCAAATAAACAAATAAATAAAAACCACATTACTAGAGTGCACATGGTTACATCACTCTCACGTGACGGCCATCATGCCTTGACCTCGGTCGGGGTGTGTCAATAATTAACCATTGAATGGAATGAGTTATGTTGTAGTAATTCACCATTGAAAATAGTGGGAACTTCCTAAGAGAGAAGCCTTCTGGGAATTGTAAATAAATATTAAGCTTAAATCAATCAATAATAGGCTTGGGTAGTATAGTTTCATGGGAAATCACAAGTAGATATGTGGGACTAATCTCCTTTGAAATCAAAATCAAAGAATAAAATAACGCAGATAGCTTGGTTAAGATTTTGTTTAACAATGGAGAGTGAGAGGTTTTGATAGTTGAAAAAGATAAATAATAGGTTAAAAGTGATATGGGGTGTGTTAAGAATTTTTTTTTAAAACCTAATAAGGTCGAAATTGTCATTGCATAATAGGGTACATAAGTCATTTAACATTAAATTTTAATATGGGGTGCATTCAACATTTTGTGGGATGTTAATAAAAAAACCTAAATTAATATTATTTCATGAACCAAACGATCATTATGTGTCAACATAACATTAATTAATGTACTAAACTCCTGGTATGTTCCAAATTTGCAGACCTCAAGTACTTATATAACTTATCAACTCATTGTACAAAATGCTCATCACTTGCAAATACATAGTATTAGTCATCCACTTATCAAAACGTACCAATCAGAGCCAACGCACAAAAAATAAAAACCTTCGACTTCAAAAGATGATCAAAACCACACACCTAACCAAAATCTGTTTTGTTAAATGCTAGCAGGTCATGTAATATAGGTACATTAAAATGGGTTAATTAAAATACACAACACCAAATTTGTAAAAAAATATTTAATCAAATTGTTAAAACAAATGTTTAGTATAAGAAGCTTAAAAACGAGGGGCTATATCAAAAACCCAAAAGTTTACTCCATAATTGATTTCAGAACGGAAACGGGAGGAATTACAATCTCTGTATTTATTCTCCCAATTAATCACATATATACTTTCTATTTATACAAAATGTAAATGCGAAACAAAGATTAAATAGGGAATTACAATAAATTTAGGGTTCAATAACATTGAGGTGAACCTTTACCACAGTGACAAAAATGAATTTTGCCTATGCACTTAATGCGGGTTCGATTCTCACAAATTTCCTTAACATTTAACCATCTAACCCACTAACGCTATTGTTTGTCAAAAAAAAAAAAAAAAAAAAAAGAATCAAGGATACACCAAGATCATCTAAAAGGTAAGGCTTCAAGATAGATAACTAAGGGATACCTCCAGGATAATCCTTTTTGCAAACCCAAGAACTTGTGACGAAAAGTTTATTGAATAAAAATGTATTGTCAATGAGGGCACCCAACGCAAGATTGGAATAGTGAGAATCGTTGCTCCTCGTTGCAAGCGTCTGGGTCCACCTTGTTGCAGCTCTTCTTTGGGGCCCGCTGAAAATGCTAATGGATGCCAAAAATTAATAGTGTCATTAGATGAGAACTAAACTTTGGATACGAATGTTGTTTGATTTGAAGTGTTTTATATCAAAACCCAACATAAACACACGCACAACAAAAGTAGGCTTGTTTTTATTTTTAAGGGGGGGGGGCGGAGTTAAAATGTATAACTGAGAGACATACCTGTGTCTTGATCAGAGTCCTTAAATATGTCGTCCAACACAATCAAATTCCTCCACAACTATATTAGAGTAATATTAGAAAAAATGAAAAAATTATTATATGATATTATAATTTCTAATATTGAATGAAAAATTGTTGTTGTTATTAGATGTCAATTAGTGAAAACTATATATATTTGGTTGCTTTGAATAGGTGCCAGTTTTTGTCAAGCGGTGGCACTTTGCACTTATTGTGCCAGTATTTTGTCAAGAAAACGGTGGCAAAAAACTTTACAAAAGTTGCGACTTATACGTAACCTTCATTGAAAACTTATACGTGTACACACGTCCTTTTAATAAAAAGCGCCTTTAAAATCTGTAAAAAGCTATGTATAGACCTTTGACAACGGCCTTGCGACGGCATGTAACACGTCGCAATAACTATGTGTCGTAAATGTTGGTCGATTATATGAGATGCTATGAGCACGTCGTAAATACTATTTACTACGGCTTGCGCAAGTAACGCGTCACAAATAATTGCCACCAGGTTTAAAAAAATATTAGGCTTCAAATTGGACGCCAATGACATTATTTTTAATAGCTTCGACAAAAAAATAATTCATGTGAAATTGTACTATAGGTTCCAAACTAAATTGAAATTCAAATCAATGTAATTTACAAAATGAAAAACACTTATTTGGAATCCTTGAGATTGTAATGTTCATTTGGAGTAATTAAACATATATACATGATTAGACATTTATATAGTCTATAATACTATATCAGACCAGTGCTTCTCTGTCGAACCTAGCA